GTCAAGACGCGAGGAAAATCGTAGTACATAAAACTATGCAGAAAAAGCTAGTTGAATGGTACCCTGGTGTGCTGATGCATCCTGGCGGGACTCGCACGGAGCTAACCATCAGCAAACACTACACCTGGAAGGGTCTTCGCAGGACTGTGCAGGCCGTATGTCAGCGTTGCCAAGGCTGCCAGATGAACAAACCCAAGACGCGTAAGCTGGGATTGATGCCTCCAAAGATTGGCGAGGAGATTCCTTGGGAAAGACTATGTATTGACCTGATAGGCCCTTACAACGTTGGGGATCCAAAGAAAAAGAATTCCTGCACACTTCAATGCTTGACAATGATTGATTCCGTAACCGGATGGTTCGAGATGCAGAGATCTGCTCCAATGGCAGCAGACGAAGTAGCCACCGTCCTAGAACAAACGTGACTTACCCGGTATCCGTGGCCTGCTGAGGTTATCATGGATAGAGGACGCGAGTTCCCGCGCAGAGGTCGAAAAAGACACTCCGGGTGAATATGGACTTCGCCGCAGTTCATCACGACGCGTACCCTCAAGCCAACTCCATGGTCGAGCGTGCTCATCAACCATACGTAACTTGATCGCTGTTCAAACATCAAGTGCCAAGACGACCTCGTGAATGTATCCTGTGATGGAGTCCTCACGGCGGTGCGCTTGCCAATGAATTGCACGATTCATACACCTTGCGCGCAGCGCCCGCGTCAGCTCGTGTTCATTCGTGACGCGATTCACAACGTCCGGTTTCAAGCCAACTGAAGTACCATATAAGGAACGTCGCCATCGACTAATCCAACAAAACAACGATAGGGAAAAACCAACGGTGTCCCTCATCAATACAGCAACGATACCGTGATATTCAAAAGTATCAGCACCGCAAGTCGGTCAGCCCAAGTACAAAGGTCCTTACCACTATAGACCGAGTCAATGACAATGCACTGTACGGCTCCGACATACTACCGCCATACGCGGCACAAGTCTACAGACATTGGAACATAAGGTATGATACACCCATACAGGCCTGATCCCCTTGTAGGATTGCCATCGTGCGACGCACAATGTCTACATCCAAATTTCATTGGGAGAGTCCCCCACTTTAAGATCATATGTTCTCCTTGTCCGACTGTTGTCGTGCCTTCCGTGACCCTTTTCAGGGGGCGAATGCAATACACGGCCTTTAGCCTTATTCGCGACTCGATCCATCGGATAGGGTTTTAGTTCGAACTCATGATCTGAGTCTCTCGTGAATAGTCCATCTTGAGACGGGTTCTTCATGACCCTGCTATCGTCATACAGGTGATGATTGAACATCGCTCTAGATATTTAGCTAGCGTGGAGTACCTCCACGCTAATAGATCCATGCTAGACAAACACTTCACACGCGTTCCGTTTTAGGATCGTGTGATAAGACCGTAGGATTCTACCACAACCTACTTCTATCACACTTTCTACTCTCCCGCGGGGAATCTCAGATCTACGATCCTGTGATGATGATTCCTCTCGTCATTAGTTTCATTAGTTCATAGCTTTCTAATCTCTCTCGTAACTTTCATTCTCTCAAACTCAAAACACTCGAAAGATCTTTACACTAGCTTTTAGCGTAGTGCATCTGCCTTGTCGGCATCAAGGAGATCAACCACTAATTCAGCCAGGAAATCTCTGTTGAGCTCCATGACACACCTTGGAGATAGCTGAGTCCCTTCAAGGGGTGGCTCTGTGAGTGTGTTGGGGAGCTAGTCCTCTGACAGACTCAGTTAGAACAATGTATTGGTTAAGCTAGAGACCATTTGGCCAACACTGTTGCCATGGTGGTAAATTTCAATCTTTTCTTGTTATTCTAGCAGAACCAGCACCAGTCATTCACCACCGAATCGTGCAACGGAATCGTGAAATGACCACTTCCTGGTTCCCATTTCCAAAAACCGAAAAATAACCGTAAAAAACGCTCACATTTTACACCTGTCAGCGGTAAAAGAAGTCATCCTGTAAGACGGACTTTGGATTGTTTGTCGATCTCACTCTTGTTCACAGCAAACTTTACTCATCTCGTTTTGCTGGCAGGAGACTTTTCTCATGTAGTAATATGGGGGTTTAGAGTACCTGGTAGGGAAGCTTATGGTTACACGTGTATGACCTATATATCTAATCTGTTTGCATCATCTGTACTCGTACATCGCAACTGGGTTGCGCTGTTGGCTGTTTTTAGGCAGCTGGAGTTGTCATCGAACTGTCTATCAGAACCTCCGAATCATCATCTTCCTCCATCTCGTTGACAGAGAACAGCACTGAGCCGACCGATGCCATATCGAGGTCTTTTCCCCGGTTGGCGTCTTCCGTCACTGGAAGGTTCAGCGATCTACTAGACTCATCCCTATTTCTCCCGCCACACGAAGAGTCAGCATCCCAATCACTCGCCAAGTCATCTCGTTCAGAGAGCTTTTCCGCTCTCTCCGCATCATCCCCATCACCAAGTGTGAAGAGGGCCGAACCTTGGGGGCTGTTAGTGGTGGCTATCGAGATAGAACCAAATGAAGAGTGGAGGGCATCGAGGGAGAATGGCGCGGACGCAGTCGAACCTTCGGGTTCTACATGAGAAGAGCCCCTGTCTTTCGTGCTTTTGCCCAGCTGCTGCAAGTTTAAACTCCTGTTGCTCGAAGCCCTTTTCCGGAACATCATGGAGCTCCTTACCGACCCAGTCGCGCTAGATTCAGGAGGACCCATGATTCCGCTCACGTGTAGATGGATCTCTTCTTCTGGTTTGATTCGTTGCATTATTGCCATGTATATCTTCTTTCCCACCACAGAGGCGACACCTGAGACAGAAAAGACCCAAATCAGCAACGATCTTCCCAAGTAGACAGCGTCAGCGTTGTCCCATTGTTCAGGACAACTAGGATAGGAATTCCAATCAGCCAGGCTTGAAGCTGAGCGAACATGGCGCAGATGGTCGTCTGAGTGTCAGCGAACTCCTCGTTGACATCAGCTGTTTTCCAAACAAAAAAGAGGGCCAGTCCCTCAGTCAAAACGAGCATGGCCATGAGAAGACCAAAGAAAGCCCAAAAGTGCTCCGATTGGCAGCTTCCGTATGTCTCGTATGGGTTGAACATAATCACTTCTCTGTCCCATGTCCATGGATCAACGGCACTCCAAGCAATCAGGACTAAGACCGTGACAGTTATCATTGCCATAACCGGGTACAATGCCTTGTTCGTGGACATGCTGTTGCCTTTCCTGAACCGCATGACACTGTCAAGACGCCTTTTTTTGCTGACCATAGCCCCGTAGCTCAAGACGTGGCCGCAACAGAAGAACCACATACTGAGAGAACAGGCGCAGTCGAGACCCAAGGCTGTGATGGAGCCCCCCAAGCTGGTCTCATCAAAACTAAGAGTCAAGATGGCGAAGGACATCAACAAAGATCCAAAACACAGCATTGATAGGAACAACGGCTAGCTGCGAATCACAATTCGGTCCCTCCTGAGCCAGTAGAGAGCGACTAAACCTCCAACACTGATACATGCAGCAGTAAGGAAGAGAAAGAACCCAAAGCCTCCAACTCCTTTTGACAAGTAGTTTGCTTCCCATTCTTCGCGAAGATCCGTGGGAAGGTTGGTGGTGCCATCACGGTAAATGTTGTCTGCTCAGGGTCAGCAAGCCAGCAGTGGATGAGCACAGGCATCCATCAAGTCAATGTACTCGTATCACGTACGGTCTCATGGCACTTACCCGCCAGCTTCTTCCACCGCCCTTCATTGTCCCACTCGGCCGTGATGACAGCCTTGTAGGTGTGTTGGTTGGTTTCTTCGATCTTCTCGGCTTGTATGTTGAAGATCCCGAACTTGAGAGGCAGCCCCACTCAATGCTTCCCGTTGCTCCATTGAATCCATAGGCTTGGATATCGTTGCGAAGGGTTTTGTGTCGTTGTTAGCTTGCTTTTCAGTAGTGGCGTAACATGCACCCATGCCGATGGCCATGATTGCGTCGTAGAGAAAGGCAGAAAAGTCCGCGGGGAGGTTTTCTTGGAAGTAGAATGGTTCAAATGCTCCGAAGGTTGACCATGCATCGATGATCCGCTGAACTGTATCCATGTCTTGAGATCTCTACATTTTAAGGAATGGGTCGGTGTCAGGGTGAGCTCGGAAGGGGTCGTGATGATCCAGAATAAGGCCACCACGAAGGAGTCGATCAAGTAGTGTTGGAGGAAAATACTGACACCTCTTTACTATTGACTCGTGTATTAATCATTAGTCCGGTTCGCATGAAATTCATCATGCAAGGAACCAAGGGAGTTTAGGTCTAAAGTGTTGCGGGGGTCCTATATCCAATTCAATCACAGAATTTATGCACCACCAGAAAAACCTCACTTTTGCTTTTCAGCTTAATCTAAAACCAAATTACCCCCAATAAGCTGCAGTACTACACTGAAAAGCAAAAGCTCATCTCGAGTCGAACAGATCAACACCTCGAGAGATATTACATCAAGTTGATCCAAGACTATCAAGATCATTGCATTGAGTAACTAAAGCAACAGAGAAGAGGTGCAAAGAATCAGCCTCTAGCCACATTATCAGAGCATCGAAACACCTCTAACACGAAAGAGGTGCGTGCGCGGGAATTCCCATCTTCAGTCCCATTATCACACATCAAAGATCAACTGTCAGTTTCGCCGGAACTACAGCGATCCAAGCATACAGGTGATCAAGAGAACAAGCTACACGTATCGTCCGCGTGAAGAAAGGAAATCCGTCTCTTATCAGCGAGTTACAGTCGATTACGTCATCGCGTCATCGCGCGAGATTTCGATCAGTCATATCACGGTGAGCGACAGGCAACATCTACCGACTAAGCTATCGTCCGAACGGAGCACTGCAAGCCAAGACACCAATTGAGAGAAAGTTGCGCAACAAGTCAAAGATACTCTGAGTATACAGTGCACGCTTCTAACCCCGAATGAGATGAGAATAGTTGATCCGAGGATACCACCGCAATGGAAGGAAGACACAAAAATCCCGGTAACGACACAGAGCTTAAAAACTCCTTCAACTCCTCATGAGAGAGTTGTTCCAGCTATTGAAACGCACACAGTGCACTTACCCAAGCATACCAAGACCATCTGCAAGCTTTGCAGAGGCAACAAGGGACCAACAGAGTCAGTTCGCTACTACTCAAGGATCCATACCACCACTTTCTACGTGAGCTGTCAATAGACAGAGGCATATCCAGCCAACCAAACAGGAGCACCAAGAGTGACCAAAAGAAAGCTATCCAGCCAACAAGAAGCTTTCACAGGCAAAACTACAAGAGTAGTGCCCGTCCTGAGATCCTTCCTGCAGGCATATCCACACAAAGACACAAGCTAGTTCCAAGGAACAAGCAAGCACAAGAGTGCATTACAACACCAACAAGACCATGAGATTTCAAGGAAGAGGTGGTCGTGGTGGAAGAAGATACCCTTCTAGGGGGGGAGGGGATTCAATTCCTCAGGAAGAAGCCATCAAGGAAGAGGCAACAGTTACAGGAACCAGAACAAGAGTTCCAAGCGCAAGTTCCTCTTCCATCCAATTGGACAGGCTGACACCAGATATTATCCTTTTGAGGAGACCCTGACACACATTGTCCAGGACTTAAGGATCAAGCCTGAGTGGAATGATGTGCCACTGGCTTCATTGCCCATTGAGACCATGACAAGTCAGGCGCCTACCAAGCCGACCAAGCCAACACTCAAGACATCACTTGCTGATACCAAAGCCCAAGAATACGATGCTTTGGATTTCAGCGAGTACAAGGCAAAGTCATCCATCTATGACAAGTCGACTCGATCCTATGAGAACATTCTCAAAACAGGTGCAACCACCATCCAGGTGACTTACTGTACCGACGCCATGAAGTCCAAGCTTAGAGGTCTAGGAAACTACGAGGATGAAGTCAAGCTGGATCCCATTGAGTTGCTCAAGAAGATCAGATTGATAGTGATGCAAGGCTCAACCAAAAAGTTCCCATTGCTACAATAAATCAAAGCACATCCAATGTGGCTTGTTCCCAAAGCGAGGAGACCATGACAGAGTTGACCTCTACTTGAGAAAGGTCGACAGCGACGTGGATCAAGTGAATGATCTGGTCGGAACGGAGTTCAGTGATGATCTCCTTT